AATCCTTTGTTAAAGATTAAATAAAATGATGATGATCTCATCTTCATATCATATATAGTATACAGGTTCACGATCAACAATATTATCATTCAATCCATTTATATTCAAAACGACAGATAGTAAAAAGGTAAATGGCTAAATGTAATCTTGGATTAGTGCTTTATAATAAGTTATTATAGTATACTGTGCTGGAGACAAGAGGCCTCGGAAAGAACCAATGGCCAGTCTGGAGCTCAGAAGAAGGAGCATTATTTATTCCCCCCGTCCTCCCACTGACGCGTCTTCCAGTTCAGGGTGACTGTTCGAAATATCCAGAGCTGTAAAAAATATATTAAAAAACATTCAAAGCGTGTGAATTACATTGTCCTGAATCATGGAGTTAGACTGTCCTCATTTATGATCTATGATTCAATCGCTCGATGAAGTCTCACTCGGTCTGTGAGGACGGACTTTCCCGTCCCCCAGAGGGATTCTATTACATGGAGCTCACGGCTGAGACAGGGAATGCCGTCCTGAGCTCCCTCTGCGGCTGGATTTAGGCAAGAAAAGATTATGGCACCAAATAAATGAGAATTTTGAGTTTTTAAATAGTCTTCTAATCCAGGAATTCAGTCAAATTGTTCCCAAAATGATTATCTCACAAATGTTAGGCTTTCTAAACTGACGGAATTGCAGACCAGGTTGCAAAAACAAAAAGAAACGTGTTTTTCTTTTTCAAAACAGAATTTGTAAAAAATCCAAAACAGAGTTCAAAAAGGGGAAAACACACGGGATCCAAACCGAGAACAATCTTATCAGGTATTCAACACATTTCGGTCATAGATCCATCACAAACTGAATAACAATGCGACAGGACGCACCAATATATAGAGAGGAAACTAATAAGACACAGGAGAAAGAAACCAAACGATCAGGGAGACGATAACCTGAGTGACAGAAGGGCAGCAGAGGGCGGAGTCAGAAACACATGACGAAGTCAACAAACGGGGGGAAACACGTGACATAACACGCAGTAATCACAATAAAACATGTCTTTTACTCCCCGGGGATCTCAACAAAAAGAAATGACCCCCGGGGATCCATGGCAACGGCTCTACAGGCCTTTACGGCGCTGTGCTTTGGCTACGGTTCATCACGGCTTCGTCTGGCTGCCGTCGCACTGCAATCAGCCTACGGGCCGGCCAGCTTCTCAATCCTCCATTAATGGCTAATTAAATAGTTTGATCTGAAATGAAACTGCCAAATCTATCACCGCGAGTACCGTTTTTAAATAGTATCAGGTAACAACTGGTTCTCCTGAATGATTTACTTCATAGGGAATTTGCATCCCAGTGGAGGGTTGTGAGCCGGGTGGACACTAATCATTTGTCTTATGTTTGCTACCGCGTCGAGATGGCTTGCTCAAAACGTCACTTTGACAGTGACCAATGAGTAAAAGCAAGTCAACCGCAGGTCCTTGCTGGAGGGAAAGTCAGTAGCTGCCTGCAGTTACATATGTCGCTAAAAAAGAAAAGAGATTTGAGTTTTTCACGGAAGTTACAAACCAAATGGCGGTTTTCTCTTACCGTCAGCTCCTTTCCTCTCCAACAAGTGTACATCTGAGGGTTCCTGACAAGTTGCCCACACGTCTGGGCTCACATCCCAGACTGGAGATTCAAAGCGATCGTGTTTCTTTGGGTTGGCTGACTGGAATCGATGGAGGAGAGTGAAGATGAGAGGGAGGACGAAGGGGGGCGGATCGATGGTTAGTCGACTCTTAGAAACAGATCAGGAGGTGACCTCTGACTACAAGCCAAGAATACATTAAAAAAAGAGTTCATACGGAGCCAAGAGCAGAGAAACGAGAGGAACCCACGTCTGAAGAGGAAAGAAGAGCTGACAAAGACCTTCAGACACTTAAAGGTGGGATTCTGTTCTTCCTGAAGTCCACAACCATCTCCACTGTCTTCAGAGCTCCAGGTTGTTCTGGCTGCACCAGGACACCAGATGGTCAGACTCCACCTGTAGGCGGACTCGTCCCCACCAGAGATCAGTCCAATGAGGGTGGTGTCATTGGCAAACTTCAGGAGCTTGACGGACTGGTGGCTGGAGGTGCAGCTGTTGGTGTACAGGGAGAAGAGCAGAGGGGAAAGAACGCAGCCTTGGGGGGAACCGGTGCTGATGGTCCGAGAGGCTGAGACATGTTTCCCCAGCTTCACGTGCTGCTTCCTGTCAGACAGGAAGTCTGTGATCCACTTGCAGGTGGGAGAGTTTGTCCTGCAGCAGAGACGAGGTGATGGTGTTGAAGGCAGAGCTGAAGTCCACAAACAGGATCCTGCGTAAAGCTACTACATGTCTCCTTACCTTCTATTAGACTATGGAACCATAACAGACTGCTCTGCTTTAAACTCACCAGCCTTTCTGTTCCTTTAGAGGTCAGCAATGTCAAGACTCTCGATTTGGGTTGGAGTTTGATAGCATCCACCAATAAAATCACTTGTTACCGGCCGCTGTGAAGGCTGAAGCATTACAGTTTTTTGTAACAGCTAAATTAATGAATATGAATTGTACTTGTAATATTTAATTAAATGTTAATTAAATTGACTGACATTTTGCGTAGTCGCTTGTACTTCCCATCCTACTCTCAAAGTTAAAGGCTCACAGGTCCACGAGCTCTGCATAAGACCAGAAGTAAACGGTACGCTACCCCTCCTCCTCCGTCACTAAAGTATTTAACCTCGTCACAGGGACCAAAATCAGACATGACACCTTCTCCTCACCTTCGACTCTGTCATAGATTGTTGAAGGCATCACTCTAAACAGCGTGACCAAGGCCTCGCTTCTCTCTTGTTCTTTGTCTTAGCGGAGGTAAAAACATGCACCCCCATCACGCTCCGGCCGTCCCTGAGACGTCACAGGCAGCAAATCCCAAATAAACCTGCATTGTATAAGAGAAAGCTCGACGGGGGCTCCGAGCTGCCTGCCTGCATGCCAACATTCCTCTCCAGTTCTCGGCCTCCCTCCCACTCCCCTTCCTCTCGGGTTAAGCCGAGCGCCTGTTCAATAAGGACCCTTGAGATGTTGTTGAGCCACCAGGCCTGAGGACTCTCTTACAGCTGCCATTCGAGTGGCCACTAAGACTTTGTGTTTATATATTATGGCTGTCAACATAAACGATTAATCTATGCGATTAACGTGCCAAGATGAATGCAGCAAAATATTTTAACGTACCTTTGTTTACTTACGGAAGTAAACCGGAAGTTGGAGGGATGGAGAGAGTTTGTGTGCATTGGAAGTAAAACAAACCGAGGCGTGACAGACAGCGGAGATCTGTGCAGAGGAATTCTGCAAGGGGGGTGAGTGGCAAACGGACCGCTTAAAGAACCGCTATGCTAAGCTAGCTGCTAGGCTAAGCTAGCTCAGCTGAAAAAGTTGCTAGTTCAACATGTTCCACCCGGCGGAATTCTGCCTCCAAGATGAGCAAATGTGCCTCGTTTTGTGTTTAAAAAAACATTAACAATAGCAACATTCATTAATCGACATTGATCAAGATTAATGAATTTCAAAATGTGCGATTAATTAGTTAATTTTTTTAATCTATTGACAGCCCTAATATTTACCTATATATATAGATATAGAAAATCCAATTCTCTCTCTACCAAAGAAACTGGTGTTCTCATTCCTCCACCGCCGGCTGGCTGATCTGTTGAAGCCGTGAGGAGATGATGTTGGGATTCACCCTTTTCAATCAATGCTGCAGTAAACATGGCGGAACAAAGACGCTGTGATAGGAATTAGCTTTAAGCATTTTGTGTTACACCGCTGGCCGCTGTCTAGTTAGTCAGCAACCTTGCTAATTCCACCACGCGTCCATGCTTACTTCCCATTGGTCCACAGGAAACTCGCCCCACAAGCGCGGGTCCCGTTCCCCTCGGCGCTAAGAGACCACCTTGCAGGTATCGTGCAGGAGCTGAGACTACAATAGCTAGTTAGCTCTCGTCTGCTTTTCTTTGTAGCCCAGTGATGTGGTCCCTGTGGTTACTGTTCTCTATCAACACACGCAGACCCTATAAGTGTGCACGTGTACATAGTGAGAGAAACTCCTATTTTCATCAGCCATTATAAAATAACACGCTAGCAAAACATGTTATCCAGGTTAACTAACATGTAGAGCAAGAGTCAGTGATGCTTTCATTTGGTGACACATCCACACCCCTGTAGCTCTCTTCTGCGGGAGCTTCCCGGGCAGGCGGGCGTGCATGCACACCCATCTGCGGATGGACTTAGAAGGATCCTTTGGTAAACGCCATCGGGAATCAATCGGACCTTCTTGCGGCCGGATCTGCAGCCGAGGCTTAAGATAGCCGCTCGCTCTGTGTTTGCGTTTGCTCCACATTGTGTTTTTCTTTCAGCCGCCGAACATCCTCCGTCAACAGCAGCTACTGGGAGAGTTCCAGGCGAAGCAGAGGGGCAAACATTTCCATCCCATCGTGTTTATTGTTTGCGTTCATCTTGAAGCTGCTGTCAATAAGCTCTTTCATTTAAGTAAAAGAGATATTGTTTTTTTACTTCCTTAGTCATACGTTTCGATGCTGCCGTCCCGATGAATGAAGGGATTCCTGTTGTGTTGATTTCTGCAGCCATGTGCAGAATGTTACATCCCTGTTTAGTTAAACTTCTGTCCCTCCTGCTGCTCTTATTAGATATTACGTTTTACATCAAGGCACATGAGTCATTTATTGTGTCTCAGACTACACAGGCTACACAGGCCTTGTGCCATATTAACATATCTACATTATGTATTGGATCAGCAATCATTACCGGGCCTACGATCTGAGTTTTTAAAACTATTTATCTCTAATTTAGATCATTAATACAGATGATGAATTAAAACTAACCTTTGTATAGTTATCCAATTAGTGTATTATCTACACGTACTGTATTTCAGCCTCCCTCCGATATGTAATTCGTCTGGAAATATAAGCCAGTTAAATCCTAAATCAAAACCACAGATCCAGAGGAACTTTTAAATGTTGTTTTATTTATTACACAACAAATAATCCATGACAATAGTTGAGTCGAGCTGCTGAGTGATTGCATCCAGCGGCTAAACACAACGTGTTAGCTGAACATAAGCATCAATTCTCCTCCTGAATCATCAGCCATCAGCGCGTCACACACACTTATATAATATTATATTATTATTATATATATATACATGTGAGTAAGAGGAGCCGAGGAAAAACGAGGGAGAGGAATTTACATGTTAAAAACGAGAGAATAACTGGAATTCATTTCACTCCGCCCGTCAACGTGGGACTCGTTGCCATGGTAACAGGCCGTGTGCCATCTACTCTTATTCACCACCGACCACGACAACCTCAGATGAACAGTGCCTCACCCTCCATCCATCCCTCACGCGCTGAAACGCAGCCCGGAGACGGAAGCGTGTTGCCCCACTGAGTGAATAATCACTGTGCAGCTCGTACAATAGTAGTTGTGCCTGTTTGCCTCCAACGGCCTTCGTGGTTTAAACGATGTGGTAAACGGTGCCACTTAATGTGGGCGCCAAGTAATTGCTTGTGCTCATTTTGTAACAAGCCAGCAACCACCTGGTAGAGATCACAGTCCGGGACCCAGGATACCAGGAGACGCTCCCTCGATCGATGTCCTCGACTCTGTGTGCGACATATTGAGTCATTTTAGTGGCTTCTTAACTGCTTGAAATGTTTACTTGTGTTTTTAGGGTTAATTTACTCTTATTTTAGTGTTTAGTTATGTTCACAAGCAGACACGCAGTGTGAAACATTGTCCTGGAGCTGCAACGTGTTCGGTTTTACAAAGAATAAGGAGAGTCTGAACCTGTCACCCTGAACCCAAAGCACTTTGGAGCCGTCCATTAGTCCCATCACCATGTGCCCTGTGGAAAGGGTGAAGGACATCGCGCTTTATTTTCCCTGTCCAGTGAGCCACAGACGTCTTTGTCTGCATTGCATTCAGCGTTGTTTGTGCAACAACCCTCGTGGACGCTGCAGGTGGCCGACGTGAGCAAAGGACGACCTTCGTGTGGACGGCAGCTGAAGTCACATCGCACCGGTTTGAAATGGTGTCCAGAACAATTAAATGATGGCCTTCAGATCCCTTTATGACCAACTAAAGACACATGAAGTGAAAATACGCTGCATGTTGATTTTATCTTCCACTACTCGGAGCGTCTTTCATGTCGAACCCCGACGGAGCCACAAAGACAAACAAGGAGACAATCACAAAAGCTTAATAGATTCTCACAATTTGTTTTGCTGCATTGCAGCAGCGGTTCCCTCCTGGTCGTCTGTCTGGGCAGGAGGGAGGGAAAAAGGAGGGAGGGAAAAAGGAGGGAGGGAAAAAGGAGGGGAACATCTAAATCTCAGTTTAACTCTCTGCATTACGTCACATTACAGTGTGAACCGCATCGATCTGTTGAACATGTTCAAAGATTAGAACGGTCCACTCTTTTCTGTTCTCAGTGCGTTGATACTTTCTCTGGTCATCAACCACATTTGTCTCCCACCTCACAATCCATAGTATTAATATAACGTGGCGGTAGCACTGTCTCTATTTTCCCTGGTATTTCACAGCGGTTTATCAGCCTCTGTGTCGAGACGTGCGTTGATTCTAAAAACATCAACATGCTTCTGAGGACGTGTGGCTGCTTCTGGAGGATTCCCTCAGTGACAAACCAGCCGAACCCTGCAGGCCCGGAGACGGCTGACCTCAGGTCAGCGCATTGACAAATTCTCCTGCAGAGGTCAAACCTTTGGTCACCATCACTGTCCCCCGGGACCACCTGCAGGGGACTGTGGGACGGAGCAAAGGTGAGGACACAGCAGTCTTTGTATAACGCGTGTAGCCAATCAGTGAGCACGTACAGGCAGACTTTTAGCTTCAGTCCCTCCTGCAGTCATCAAGGAGCCTACTTGGCATCTCAAAAAGACGTGAATATGAAACAAAGCCGGAGGCTTTTATTTTGTAGCCAACAAGGTAACAAAAACCAAAACTTTCAAAAAGCAATTTGCTCCACACAAAAGGTCCCAACAAGGCCGACTACCAGAAATGTTTACAGCCAGGATGAACTGATCATATCATATGCTGGACAAAGTGGCTGAGTAAAGAAAGTCGATAGCGAACAGAGTGCATCCTGGAGGCATCGTGGGCTCTGAGCAGGCAGCAGCGATTCAGACCGGACCACCACGCATCCGCCCACGTTGGATTTGAGAAAAAAGGAAAAACGCATTAACTCCATTGGCTCTCTCTTTATAACAATGGCCTCAGACTGTAGATCTGCGCCGCCTTCTGAGTGAGGAGAGGACGTATTCTCCTGATGTTGTAGAGCGAGTATCTAAAGGATCGTATTGTTGCTGTAATGTTGGGGGTCAGGGAGAGTTGGTGGAGAATTAGTTGGGTGTCATCGGCGTAGCTGTGGTTGGAGAAGCCATGCGAGCGAATGACAGCGCCGAGAGAGTTGGTGTAGAGCGAGAAGAGGAGGGGACCCAGGACGGAACCCTGAGGAACTCCAGTAGTAAGATGACAAGGTTCCGACACAGATCCTCGCTAGGTTACCCGGTAGGTGCGGCCGTCGAGGTAGGACGAGAGAAGGGAGAGAGCAGAGCCTGAGACACCAAGTTTCTTGAAGGGAGGAGATAAGTATCTGGTGGTTGACTGTGTCAAATGCAGCAGAGAGGTCCAGAAGGATGAGGACAGAGGAGAGACAGGAGCTCTAGCAGTGTGGAGATGCTCTGAGACAGCAAGGAGAGCAGTCTCTGTGGAACGGCCTTGAAGCCTTTGAAGAGCTTTTGGCAGCAGAGATAGAAGCAGAGAAAGAGGAGAGAACAGATTGAAACGCAAGCAGGTCGTCAGGTTGGCACCAAAGGAGCGCAACCATTACCACTATTATTAGTTTAGTTACTTTTGGACAATATTTGTATTTCTCTCTGCTGTATTTGGTCATCCAATAACCCAATGTCCATAAAAGTAATTTATGAGTTTGAATTCAGATCAAATCCTGTGATCTCCTCCAATAGAGAACACAGAGTCAAGGGCTGTTCACAAGAAAAACATAACTCAATGGAAATGAGGAGCATGCTCGGCATATTAATGAGGACTCATAGAGTATCCACTTGTGTGTGCGAGGAGAAGAAGCACGAATCTGATCGTGAGCTCGTAACTCCTTTGTATACTTTGCTTGCACACTGATCTTCTGTTGGTAAACCAACTCTTCCAACAATAAATAGATCTGTCATTTGACCCGTTCAGGGACGTGGAAATGTTCGCTGTGACGGAGCATATAGGAGAGTAAGATGGCAGACAGCGTCTGCTTGGAAGAAGCCAGACATGCTTTATCCAGAACCAGGCTCCCCCATTTAGAACATGAGAACGTGTCTATGGCAGTCGGTCCACACAAGCTGTTCCAGGACAGATTCCCTCTTATTAAGAGTGACTTTTAATATTAATGTTTTCAAATGGACCAACGGCACAAACCGCAGTCATTTCAGACGAGGCAACAAATTGCCCTGCTAGTCCTCAGATTAATAAACCGGTCCAATATCAGCAGGTTAATCAGTCTGTATTGAGTTTGGAGACCGTGTCAATCAAAGCTGTCTTGGAAAATGCAAAATGTATAACGGCATGAATTATTATTATTATTTTGCATATCTGAATCGCAATGTGGAGCGTTTAGCTTGAACCCTGAAATCTGGAGACAGCTGGGATTCAGAAGGCCAGTGTCGGTGTGGGTGGATTGGAACGGCACTGCAGCATGGTACGTAATTAAGTGAGAGTTTGGCACTTGTTAATTCAGGCCATTAATACAAGGCCCGCCCACGTTCTTACAGCCGATTGGCCCTGGCCCTGATTCATGCTCCACGCACTCAACTGGACTCCACCTCAGTGGAATAAGCAGCCACCTCATCGCTCAGCAGCACATTCCCCTGATGCCCAGAACAGCGTTGGATGTCAGCGGACCTAATGATGATTCATGGTGTGGCCTACAAAGCTAAAACACTGATGATACAGAATTCCACTCCATCCAAAACACTGGCAGTATTGAGCTACAGGCAGCTATTGAATCAAAGTTATAATGTTGGTACTGTAGCCATGATGATCTTTATGTATTGAAGAACAATAATTTGATGATAACAATGATAGAAAAATCAATGAGTAGGTCCTTAAAGTCTCCATTTACTGCACCCTGCTGTACTCACACTGACTTGAGCTCAGCAGGGATTTAGGACATCGTTCTGATGAGTTCAAAGGTCCCAGTAATCTCTTGAATCTTTAGGACAACATATGGTGGCCAGTGTGAACCGTTTGTCTTCTTTGTGGAGCAGCGTTGTTCAACATTTTGTGTGCAGAGCTTGACTGTAGTAAAACGTCAGGACGCCCCCTCACCCCCATCAGCGACACCCCCACGTACTGTTACGGCGGCGTGTCGTGCACTCATGATGAAAGCATCCATGAAATAGCATTCGTACAACCCAAAGTGTTTTCACGCCGGTACGATCCAGCAGAGAACTCAGTAGAGCGCGGAGGCGATAGATACTCCTGTGTATTTTTAGTCTGAGTCAATCATCTAATGATTGCTATTGATCTGGAAAAGGCAGCATATACCGGCGCAGTGTGTGTGTGTGTGTGTGTGTGGTGTGTGTCTGGTGGTGGAGAGACACTTTGCCTCCACAGTTTCCCCTTCGAATGATGTACTGAGATGAACCACAGTGAACAGACAGACATCTTAAGGCTGCGCTGTGCACTTGGAGAAGAAGAAACAGCTGCAGGTGAATCAACATTTTTTGAATATATGACATCATCTTTTGCTGATGGATGTCAGTATAGCGCTTATTTTCACCGTCTGCAGGAGGCCTGGGCCAGTGACAAACTAGATGTTCAAAGCTGCAAAATGGCTGTTCTTGCTTGCTATTGAAATCAAATTGTGTTAATTATCCTCTCGCTCTGCAGTAACAGGCTTTCTAAGTATAGGCCACGGTGACTCCTCCACAGAGGAGCCACGCAAATGATCCAACTGGCATGAAGGGAGAACAATACGCAGGTCTCTGCATGAGCTTTACAACATTATTTAGACTCTCATGCTGGGAAAACGCTGTGTTCCATCCCGCCTAATGAAAAAAAACAAGTGTGTGCTTAATCCCCTTCATATTGGTGATGACAGGAACATGAATAACACAGGAATATAAATCCCTGGCAGGTTTTGTTTCTAGTTTTGTTCTACATCTCCAATGCCTGCAGATCATTATAAGTGAATCACACAGTGAAGCTTTAGAGAAAAGGGTGTATGAGTCATTTCGTAAGAACTTTGTGGCTCCACTGGAACCTTCAAAGTGTCCTCACTTTCTAAAGCTGCAACGTGTCTCTCATGTTAGACAGAGACCAGGAACCAGTTCAACATCACATCTGGCAATAACGGGCCAAGACGAACCCTCCGCTGCATTGGCTATGTAGCAGGGCAAATGTCTACTGGGGACCCGGGGCGATGCTCCCCCCCCCCCCGTCTGGGCTCATCTGCTCACCTTTCTACAATCAGACCTCTAACCTCAAACACTTCAATACCACGGCTTTCTCACGACTCGTCTCCAGGTGTTTGGTCCGCTCAAAGGTCACAATCTTGACCTCTCTTGTCTGGTATTGACTAAAAAGTATTTTCTGTGCTGTTTATCTGTGAAACCTGTGAGTAATATGTCTCACCTGCTTAGGATCCCTGAGGCAGACCGGCACTGACCCCCCCTGCAGGAGGGCGGTAGACGTGCAGAGTGCAGAACTCCATCCCGCGCTACAGATGTGTCAAACAAGGACTGCATGGGAAGACATCAGAAACATTTCACGAGCATATGGTAATAATAGACTACATACTTATAAAAAATACTCAATCTCATGAAAATGACTTAAACTAATGTATTATTCATTCTATTGTAGACAAGACGCTCTTACATTAGCAGAAGCAGTCGCTGTATTTCCAAAATTCACAAAAGCTCCTGTGAAATGTGCCCACGTATGCAGACAAGAACACACAGCAGAGGCGTCCTTGTAATAATAGTATGGCTCATTAACTTTAATGCTGTTGGAATAGTTTGAAAATGCGACTGTTATGTAAGAATGGTGCATAGGAGACACCCTCCACTGCACCTCAAGTGAGCTGTAACTAAAACCCGGAAGATTACTGGCATGTGCGTGTGCAGTAAGACAACAAATGGAGGAAACATGTTCCAGATGTACACGCAACATGGCGTGTTTAGAGTAATGTCAATTGTAGTGGAATACAAATGATCACCAATGGTTGAATGAAGTATGCTTTAAGCTAAAGGGGTTAAAAAATGTCCATTTCAAACAGGCCAACACACAGGGCAGAACTAACAGTGACTGAGCCATTATCTACTGGGGATGAATCAAATCCACAAGGCTGCAGCCACATTCAAAGTGTTCCACTAGAATCCAATTATTTTGGAAAGCCATACCTCTGTGTTTCCTTTGATCGGGCTGCCAGCTGAGGCAACTTGCTCACTGAACCTAAATTATACACCAGAAAAATCTCAGACGTGATCGGGACACGAATGTTATTCCAAAGTCGTGGGAAACATCGGTGAATACAACAAACTCAAATTGCTTTGGTAAAATACCCTGCGGGGCTCCAGCAGGGGAAGAAGTCCTAATTAGTCGTTATACAGATAAAAGAATCGTGTGATGTCATTTCTGCATTTTCATTCTGCTCTTTTACAAAGAGGACTTCCAGTGAAGGGAACATGGATCCATTGTTCACTGACATGGCTGCTGTCCTGTTGTTTTCCTCACTACTGTCCCTGGATCTGTCTCACCCGCGCACGTGAGGATAAACAACCAACCTCCCCCCCCGTTCCCATTCAGGAGGTAGACCAAATAGCTCTCTTACCACTTACCACAACAGCTGAGTCCATCGTCCACCTGGGAGCTCAGCCGGACCGCCTCGGAGCCCGAGCAGCGACTGGAGACGTTCATTTGGAACCAGCTCATTGATGTTAATTCATGTGTTGCCAAAAGAGTCATGTGTGTGTATATATATATATTAAAAACACGTTTGTATGCAAGTACAGTATTTAATTGAATGGGGAACTGGTTATTTTCACATTCAACTCGCAGTGACGTTCCACGGAACACGTTGCACAGAGAAGACGTTACAGCAGAGAGCAAACGATTACACGTCACAACTAATTCAAAGAACTAGGAATTGAGTTTTGCCCTAATAACATATATGTGCTTTTTTCAACCCTAATCTGGGTTGAAAGAAAGCCAATAAATACATAAATATATAAATAGATCAGTGCATAAAAATTGGGGAAGATATGAAAACTAGAATACTACTTTGAGCAGGGACAATGTGGACACAGAGCAGGATTCCTTACTTGGCAGCAGCATCTGGCTTATTAGCGTATAACCTGAATAAAGAAGCAGGAACCGGAGCCTGGAGAGCGATGAAGCAGAGAACACAACACATGAACAGCCATCACTCGTCGCTCCGTCCTGTTTAAGGCAGCGAAGCCCCCCGGCAGGGCGGGGGGTGCAGGTGTTTGGTCTTGGCTCTCTTTGAGAGTCCGACCCGGATGGGCCGGTTGCATGTTCGCAGAGGCTCCAGCCGCCTCGTCTGCTCCGGCTGTCCTGCAAACACACAAAGCGCGGCTTTGTGAGACAGTTATCCCCCCACAGTGACTCCAGCTCTGCAGCTTGTTAAAAACAACTCTTCACAGTTTCATCAGACACACCTGGGCTCCTAACCGGCGTCTGTTCTCATAGTGTTCATATTCCTTTCTTTGGGACGCGTCTGTTCCGCCATTTTCAGTTTGCTTTAATCTCACTATATTGTAATAAAGATCATTAGAGCACTGTGCACTAATCACGACAATATGCACAGAGACTAGAGCTCCTTTTCTCTCCTATATTTCAATATCTTGGAAGAAATGACTGTTCTGAGCCCACATTCTTTCAAATGCTCTTTTCTTCTTTTGTCAGCCTCTGTAATTAGAACTCACTGTAGCCCAGTTGTTCCAGGAGAGGGGGACCCGGGAAGGACGGAGACCATCTCTTCCTCTGCGGGGGCTCTGGGAGGAAAATATTGACAGTCAGAGACGTCGAGGAGGGATGAGCTAATTCTGTCTTATTTGTTGCCATTTGTGTTGTTTTTCTCCCCCTGGAGATTATTGAGGAGGGGGAATTAATATTTGAACATCCATTGCAGCAAGCTGTGCCAATTTAAAAGATGGATCAATAAAGATAATTGTATTTCCTCATTGACTTCACCTAGCTGACCTTTTATCAGTCAACACGCTGCAGTAACACTGACAACAGTGGAACCGCTCCCATCCACCCAGATCCTCTCAATGTTCCTCAGACACATTGTGGTTACTTGTTTAACTATTTAGTTCCACTCTTATATAGACACTGATCGCTGAGACACTCGTTGAGATTTAGTTTTACTTTGAAGAAGAAAACCAACCTTTGTGAGTCTCCTCGGTGCACAGATGGCTGCCGAGGGGAACCTCCTGCTCGCCTTCACAGGTAGGAGAAACATCTGGATCCCCAGCACACATTTCCAGGCCGGAGTCTACAGACGTGCAGCACAGGGCTCGATATATCAGGGCGTGTTTTCATGTGCCACTAGCTTTCTGGTACGAACACCGTGGTGTCAATGAAGCTTATTGCAAGGCCTCATGATGAGATCCAAACCAACCAAATTTTAAAGGGCTATGTATATACTAGTACTGCCAACAATTACAATTTTTAATTGCGATTATGACATCAATCACATTGTTGTGTGCAAAATGTAATAATGACATAAAAGGTGGAAGTATTACTATGCAAACACTTTAACTGAGAAAATGGGGAACGGTCCGACACTTTTAAAAGGACATTTTAAAACTACAGGACGACGCAGTTTTGTAGCCACTGCAAACCGGAAGTATCTTATCACCAGAGTACTACGAGCCTGAAGTACTACGAGCCTGAAGTACCACTTAAAGCGTTGGTGCCATCCAACTAGCTAGCCAAACAACCAGTGCGGGACACGCCGCAACTGTCGACAAACCGCCAGAAACGCTAGAAAAATTTGGAGGAATGGATACAAAAGTGTCTGTTAGAAGTTCATTTAGTCTTTGTGTAACTGCTATTTGAAACGGAGTGATAGGAGAGGGGGGGGCACATGCAGCAAAGGGCCCGTAGACGCTGCACACGGCGAGCTCATTGTGCATTCATTAAATGCATACTGCTGTGTGGTTTATTACCTGGCGATGGGTCTCCATAGCATCCTAGTTTTGCGATGCTGAGATCTTCTTTGCAGTTGTCTCGATCCGAGGCTCCAGACACACGAACACACTGCTCAGAGGACGATGCACCGCTGTCTCTTGTGAAATCACTTGTGCTGATGCTAAAAAACAGGTTCAGCTCTTTCAAGACCTTGTTGAACAGCTCTTTCTTCTCAAAGGTCAGACTGTCGTCTACGTCAGAGGCTGGACCCTCGCTGCTGGGGGGAACACTGGACTGGAAGTCGCCCTGGAAGCACTCGGGGGAGTTGTGAGTCCTCCCACAGTTTGCCGGTTGCTCTGGACGTACGAGAGCGATGTCTTCTGCTGCTGCTGAGATCCAGTCGGGGACTTCATTACACATGCTATAGATGCCTGAAAAGCCCTTTGCCTTGTTCTCAGGGTGACGACCAGATGTTTCCTCCTCTTCCTCCTGCGGTACCTCCTCGTGCTTATGGAGCTGTTGCTGAGGTGATGTCAGCAGCTGCTCAGGTAGGCTGCTGAGGAGAAGGCTCTCGCTCAGGCCGTCTTCATCACCATCCAGGGAGAGTTGGATCCTTTCGAACGTGTCAATTCCTCCTGGCAGACGTCCGTTGAAGGGGAAGGCAGTCAAGGTCGAAGGGTCATCTCTATTATCAACCACGTATGTCTCAGCTGTGTGTTGAAAGTCCGAGACACAACTGAGCTTGTGTTCTTGTTCACGTTGACTCCCCAGGGTTAAATTGTGTCCCTCTGTCCGTTCACTGATCCATTCCTCAGGCATGTCTTCCTTCTCCCGTTCCACAACTATCTCCGAGCTACCGTACATGTCGCGTTCTGCACCCACACTTGCCTCTTCTTTTCTTTCCTCTTCACCCGCTGCTTCTTCCGTTGGTAAAATCACAGCATTGTAGGGGTGATCAGACAGAAATCCAAGTATATTTTTCAACGCGTCATCCACATGTGTTAGTTTGTCGTCATATTTACTAGTTTTGCCTTCGGTCCGGTGCCTGATGGAATTACCAGATGATGTTTCCGTTGCTTCTTCTGTGTCCTGGGAGTTTTCTGGTTGCTCACCGGTTCTTATTTCTTCTTCAAAACTTGTCATTCCTCCGTTTTCTTTTATCTCAGTTGTCCCGTCCGTTCTGGTGATTTCAGCCTGTAAATATTCAACCTCCTTTGTCTTCATTCGTTCAGGACTGACATGAAAACAGCCGGACCGATCTGACTCTTTCAACTGATGCCCCACAGTATCATGGCTGACTCCGGTTTCCCCGTGACAGCTGCTGTTGTTGTGTGTTTCGTTGGTGGTGATAGAACCAGCCAGTGGTTCAGTGAATGACTGACATAAGTCCTCTTTTCCATCTTCGCGCTGCTGCGTAAGGCTTTGGTGATCTGACTTTCCATTCTGGTTGAGGGTTAAAACCTCCTTTGATAGCCGGACGTGGGCGCAGAGGGGGAGAGGGGTTTCCATGGTGCAGACTTTTACTGATGGAAGTGATTGTACACCGGCGGCAGCGCTCCCTGAGTTGCAGCTCTTCTCTTCCTCCCTGTCAGTTTCACTCCAGATTGCAGGTTCAATTACAGCGAAAGGACTTGCATCATTATCTCCTTCAGCAGGCCCTTGACAGATTTGTGCAGGCACGGGAGTCCCTGTCGTGTGATCAGACGTTTTGCTCTGAGCTCGGGCTATCATCTTAGCACCAGCCTCTTCTCCTTTTTCCCCACAGAAGTCATCAGCATCAAGACTCAACCTCTCAATTGGAATGTTTCTGAGTGAAACAACATCATAAGAAACAATTGATCCTTCTGGTTCATGGGGAGTTCATGCTCGTGCAATTCTCATTGACTTGGTCTTCTGTTTCCTGCTTACATATAGCAATATTTTCACAAATCTGTGCTAAGTTCCCTGAGCGTTGTGGGTTTGAGTAGAAAGAATCAGTGAAAGATATAAGACTGTATCTTCCTCGCTGAATACGATAGTCTCTGTGAATCCAGGCTCTTGCCACTCCTGATTACTTTCATTTTCAGAAGTGCAACCAGACTGATATCTGAGCCCATAGTCGCTTGAACTGACCTGCAATGCTTGGATTTGACTGGCACTATTCTGCACCAGTGCTCCAGCGCTGTTATTTCCAAGCGCCTCGTCTTCACACGCTTCCCCCAGCAGTTTGCTATCAGGCTGACTGGACGTATCAGCGTTGCCTTCTTTCGAAGTGCAGGTCTCTGCTACAGCCCGATCTTCATCATCTGGCACGGTGGAGCTGAGTTTGTCGGTTGGAGGGATTGGAGGCTGCTCATCTCTCACCAGAAGTTTGAAGCATCTCTCTGCAGAGATTGAGCTGACGTCAGACGATCCAGTGTGTGACGTAGTCAAGCTCGCAATAGGAATGACAATAAATGGAGCGTCTTGTAGTTGCTCTTCCATATCACCACCTTCTGCTGCGCGTAGTAAACCTGCATTTTCCTGCCAGGTACTTGTCGATGATGAGGAGCCGACGGTTTTCCAAAACGTCACAAGTTCCGGAAATGCAAAACTGCTTTTGCCACCGTTGTTGTGTGTACAGTCTGTCCTCGGCCGTTTGGGGGGAAATGGTGAAGTAAGCTCACTCTCAGTGTTTGGACTGTAATCTTCTTGTGTGATTGTATCCATTTTCTCTCATCTAAAATACCTGAGAATAAAAACAATTTGAGTGAGAACAATGACAGGTGTTACTCTATTACAACAATGATATCATGCCAAGGAGGTTCGTATTGCATTATATTATTTTGGTAGATAACATTTTTAAGGTAATCTATTTCAAATTAAGAAAGGCTTTGAAAATGAATTCAACCAAGTGATGGGAAATAGTCAGAGATTGTCTTTTGTACCTCCTGTGCTATAATTCATATTGCTTACGGCATTACCATAATAGCCCATTTATTCTGTTGTGTAGGAGCTATAGACACTCATCTGGGCGTAATCGCACAGCATACCACAACACCGTAATATTCAGCAGGTGCGTTTCCAATAGCAGAACAGACTGATACGCAGCATGATGCTGAATCACGATACAGAATACAGATGGCTTATGTTGCCTTCCTACATTAACAACCAAATGTAAAACAAATGAATTACTGTGCGTGTTTCTGACAATGCCAGCTTTGTTTCAAAGAACAATCCCCATTCACATCAGACATCTTAACCTGTAATCACAACTCATACTGTTTTACTAAACTCTCCCAGTAAGCCGTGTGAGCGTGACCAAGAGCAAGAGGCTCCACAGCTGAAAGCAAAGCTCAGCGCCATGAATTCATAATGTGCTTTTCCTTCTGCGGCGAGTCTAAATGTGCTCTTTGAAAGAGGTCCTCTCTGTACTAGGTTATATTAATTGTTACAAGGAGGCATATTGGGAAAGCAAAGTGACGTCATGTTACCTTGGAGTCACCCACAGCGCATCGTACCTGGTCAAGTTACGTTTGTACTGAGCTATATATGGAATATCAAGCACTCTATGACATAATTATAACACAGTAAAAATAACACATCCAAAAGAGTAATACATAGTATAACAGCCATACATATTCCCTTTGTATTGAGTATTACATTAGAAAATCGATATTAGAAACATGACGTTATATATTTCTTTTAAAAAAGAAAAAATAAGCAGTTCAGTAAGCTAGCTGCTGACTGCTTTTCAGATTTGAACTAACCAGTTTTCATGAATGTGACCAGCATTTTGCTATTTAGCTTAACGCGATGTTACAGTGTGTGTAACACAATGACGAAGCTAAGCAGGTAACGTTAGCTAATGTTAGCTTAGCGCTCGTGCTAACTTATTTTTTCTTAGCATAAGAACACCTTTCGACATCGACACGTAACTTCAAGCTCGTTATGTCTAATTGTTATCGAACTATATATTGAGTCCAGTCACTCACCTTCTGAATGAACGAGCGGAGATGCGCGTCTCTTGTCTTGATAAGGTCGTTTTTCTGTCAGCCTCGAATTGGCGCCAAACTGCTGCTGCCGGACGAAGCTAACATTGTTTAGCTAACAGCGTTTGGCTAGCAGTGTTGAGCTAACGTGGCTAACGTGCCATTGTGTTGTGTGGATCTGTTATTTTTTTTTGTAATAGTTCCTTTTTGTCGACGAGATAATAATTTGTAGATACGAAAAAGCTGGACTTCTGATCGCGTTCATAGTGATATGTTTTATATATTTATTCTTCGCAGCATCGAGCACCCCCTCCCTCTCTCCCCCCTCCCCTCGGTATCCGCGGTCCTCCTCCAGCAGCCTGGCGCCCCAGGGCTGTGTTCAGAAGCAGCATCTTACGGTCCTTCAGAGCACGGCTCAGCGGCTCAGAGGCGCTTCAGCAGCATCGAACCAGCAGCGGCGGAGCAGCAGACCGGCGAGCCGCTTCCCTCCCCGCAGGTTTAGTCTCAGCACGCCGGACAGCTGACCGGATTCTCCCGCGGACTGCGCACTCTCTCTCTCTCTCTCTCCAGGTAGGATGGACACGAGTTGTTTTAAGCAGCGAGGAACGATGCAACCTGCACTGCGGCAGCCTTTTGGTTGCATAAGACACGTTTGCGTATTTAAGTATCTAAGTCCACACAATTGATCATGTCCGCGTATGCCGTGCACGTGTGACGTGTAAACGCGGCTTTGTGCACGCCGTGCTTGGATTTACTCTCGGCGCACACGCGCACATTCACGGGCGAGACGTTCGATTCAACGAGCAGACACGAATCGCCTGGTTGTCACCGATCCACGCGGACTGGATGTGTTGTGACCGTGCGTGGATTGTCTGCGGCGCGAGCTGGTGTGAGGATGTATTCCGCCTGATGTTGGTGCTGATGTTGGTGCTGATGTTGCGAGGGTGTGTGTCGCGCGCTGGATGGAATGCGGGTGGGAAGCGGGGGGGGGGGGGGGAGGGGGGGCAGGTCTATTGATTCCACATCATCCTCCCAAATGAGGCTACTAATGATCAACGCGGGCGTGACCGCATCTCACCCACCAGCCTTACGCTCTTTCACGGCTAAAATCACACACACACACACACACACACACACACACACACACACACACACACACACACACACATTTCTATACAATGGAGGTATGAGAAACAGTGGAACTCCAGCAGATTCCCTGAAGGCAAAGCTTGAACTGCATTGCTCCTGTCCGTTGGGGGGGCTCTGCCTCTCAAGGTCATCCCTCGTTGGTAGATGATGGCACGGTGTGGTTTATTAGCCCCCCTCCTGCCCGGCTCAGGGGCAGGTCTCACAGGTCTCGCAGGTCCTCATGGGGCCGTAGAAAACGGTCGAGTCCACACCTGTCTGCTGACGTGTTGCCGCAGCTGCACACTCGTTCCCCGTCTGGTTCTGACAAAGGGTCTCGGGTCTGGAGTGAGCGCGGTGAATCCCTGCTGCGGGCGGAACCAGAGTATCTGGTCCCCGACTCGGCCCGTCGGATGAGATAAAGCACCGACATCTGCTGATCACGCACAAGGCCGTCTGTGCACAGTCAAAACACAACAACACACGCTTAGGACATGCTTATGTAATAATCAGGGTGGGATTCAAGACCGGTCCCCACGCATGACATTTTCGTGACACTGCAACCCCCCCCCCCACACCCCACACCTCCATTAGCACTTAATTGCAATGCTTTTCATCAGTCAGCACTACTCTTTATCTACAAGAAACAAAAGCTCTGGTCTTTGTTCATCTTTACATCTCGTCCTATCACTGATCACCGCGCCGCTCCTTCAGAAGCAGTGAAAACCAGAATGTAGGAACCTCCTCGTTGTCACGTTTAAAGACTACCGGGGGATTTGTTCAGTTTTCTAAAGATGGTTCTCATTCCATTCCTCTTTTAGCATAACGCCGCGTGATGTGCGAGATGAGCATTGACAGATGAGACTGTCACTGGGCGCTGAAGGACGCTCATGACAAAGAAAGGAACGGAGGACGGATCGTTACGTCGTGGCAGAACCCCTCAAATAGGGGCTTTACACACTGACCATCAAAGCCCAATAGCCGTCCTTAAGAGTCTATTTGAACGCGCGTAGGAAGATGATGTTCTGCAGCTCCACCACGTTGCCACTTGCGTCACGTTAAAGGCTATTCGGCTGCACGTGCCGAGGGGGCGGTATTAAAGAGTGTGAGATGTACCCAAGCCTTGGTTTGCCTCTTAGTACACCACAAATTCAACGAATCTACTTTTTTACCAGCATCCCCGCACCTCCTGTTCCCTCCTCTCGACGTTAACATGCTTTTTTGATCTGGAATAAGGTTTGTGGTTAAAAGAAGCTCACAGATATGAACTTTTCGCTCTACAACAGCCCCGACTTTTGAGGTTCTTGGGTGTTTGTCTTCAAAAGGCAGTTTGTGACAAGTGGCTAAAGGGGACCACACAACAGCTGACGTGCACTAACATGCACTAAAAGCAGCACCGCTGGCTACGTCAGCGCAGAGAGGCTGTGATTACATCATTCAAAGAGGGAGGGGGACTTCCTTCCCTGCTCAGACTTTACTGCATCTCTACAGAGACGACGGCTATCGGCTGTATTCATGTTCAGCATATTACCTGGACTGCAATCATTCAACGCTTAAGCTTTTATTTCCTGGATGCAACGTGCACGCAAATGTACCAAGACACTAAAAAAAACACCCGTTTGTGCAATGTATGGTGTTTCTGCCGTGTGGTTTTTAGTTGTCGTACTCGGACATGGTTGCGTAACCCACGGCGAGTGCCTCAGATGTCACATACGGGAGCTGGAAACGAGGCGCCAGAAGCATCATCGGAATCACGATCGATCAAACCCCTTCTGCAATCCTTTAAAGCAGATCGAGCGATGCGATGCACTGAACGCGCTGTTCATCTTTGACGCCGTTCATTGTGTGCACATGACATCACACTCGTGTCCATCCCAGTGGAGGGATCCTCCTCGACGCTCTCCCCAACGTTTACTCCGTTTGCTCCCCGTGAAGGCTTTTCTGTGCCGATGTGCAGGTTTTTTAGGACAGAGGACGCGCACGTGTACAGACTGTAAAGCCCTCTGAGGCGGATTCATGTTTGTGATTTGGGCTTTTACGAAATAAAATTGAAAGATATTTGTTTTTACCAAGCAGGGCTTTAATGAAATAACCTTTTGAGTTGCATTATGGGACATTTTGTTGCCCTTTCTTTTGGCCTGGAGCCAGAGGTACTAAAAGTCACCTTTTTTTAATCTGTCTCTCATAAATTCCCAAACGTCACAGACATATAATACCCATTTTAATATAATCCAAGACTTAAGCAGCTACTGGTATGATGGTATAACAACTCGTCGTCTCATTTCTATTACTAATATTACTGCTTTTATCATGTCATGCTATTATTACTAGTAGTAATCATGTTTCCTTTTATGATTTAGGCTTTTACTTCTCTCATTACCGCATCAAGTCTCCTTCTTTTTGGGGGGTAGTTTGTTCTTTAATGTGGTTTTAATGTGAGATTAATAAGAAAGAGGATGTCGTGCCGAAAGTATTGTTAAGTCCTCTGATGCTTGTTCCGGATTTGTCATATGGGGCAGTTGAGTACAATTGGAAATTTAGTTGAACCCCATATGGAAAACCCCAAAAAGGATCTAATCCCTACCAAGAAATAAAGATGGAAAAATCCAATACATTTGTAGGCATTTCAATATCTCATCTTCCCATATCAGGGAGACATGGAGGGCCTATCTGTGTTGGCATGTTGAGGAGATAAGTCTTCAACAAAAGGCATTTCTGTTCTCATTCTGTCAGCTAAGCTGCTGTTGTGTTGATCCACTGCTGTTGGATCATTTCTGATGATCAGCTCAGAGGGGAAGGTCACTTCTTCTCTCCTCCGAAGCAGCTGGAGGCGCTTACCCCACCCGGAGCGCGCATTAATACATGGAGATTTTATGCTCAATTTGGGAGATGCAGAGTCTTCATCCAAACAGTTTTGTGAGCTCATGTTGGATAGCGTGTGAAATAACCGCAAAGCAGAGCGTGACCTCCTCACACGCAGATGGCTCGCGCGGGTTTGGTTGTGATGGGACTGAGCTGAGGAAGTGAGCTGCTACTCCACAACATGTCCACAGTTTGGATTTAGTGTCTCCAGTCTTTTGTTTCCAGGCTTCCGGAAACATTGTTTTTCTGTGTTTGGAAGTGCGCAATGCATAAAAACCGGTCTCATGAATCCATCAAGGAGGAGCCAGAAGTCCTGTTTTTGGTGTCGATGGAGGATGAGTGATCCAGACCTCACGTATCATTTCCTCCAAACATTGTAGTTGATCCAAGCACAGTGATGGCTCAGTGTGAAGTTAGGGCTTGTTCCATTTCTTTCTTTCTCTTCTGATCAATAGATTGTGTTCTCCATCTGAATTAGACACACACACACACAATAAGCGAGGTGATGGTGTAGTTTAGTGTGGACACATACATCTACTGGCCTACATTTAACTGGGTGTTAAATGAACATGGCCTCAGTTTATCCATGATCCATGTGCTAAGCTGACAAAGATGTTCAACAACAACACAACATTTTTCTGGCAGGCAATGTTCCCAACGAGCTGCATCCAGGGTCCGGCTGAGTCTTCTTCACAAACCACATCTAAGTGGCCTCTCACATGCTTTTGCAGAAAAACGTTTTCAAAAAAAAAAGTGCCGCGCTTTACTTCCGACGGACGGCCGTTGCTCCTTTGCAACCCTGAACGGGCTCTCACAAGCGATGCGCCTGAGGTCCGAGCAGCGCTAATGGGCCCCTGGGCAGAGACACAGCCACAGCGTTACCACCAACAAGCGAAGGTGGTCCAATAGAGCATCTCAGCAGAGGCTCAAACCATCTTTAGCCTATTATGATAGTTACAGGTTGGTTAATGAACATGATGGAAGCCATAAAGCCGCAGCATCAGATACCAAAAGAGGCAATTCAAAATGAATTAGAAATGTAGAAATTAAACACCCAAACAGCTTTAGGTTTTCTGAGTACTTTAAATTGATTTCCCTTTCCCAAAGGGTTCCATTATAGAGTGAGCTATTCAGCATCTTAAAGTATGAAGCAAATAGGCTGGAAACCCTTTGATGGGCCGCGGCTCCCATTTCCCCCTCCAATCCACATTTTACTGCCTCTGTTTGCGATGCAACTGCTCATGAGGGATCCGAGGGTCCAGAGTGCCTCTACAAATGAAACAGACCAAGACAAGCAGCTGATCACAGGAGCTGGAAATAAAACCGTCGGGGACTCATTTCCAACTCGCTTCCTGTGCTTCTTCTACAGCTCGTTTGGTTTAAAGTGTATTTTTAGACGCAGCTTTGCTTCACGCTTCTCTAGAAGTCTCTGTTTCCTGCTACATATTTAGGTCACGCGCTTAAAGGTGCACCCAGTCATTAATTCTGCATGTGTGTGTCCTGTGTGCAGGCATAATGGGGAAACAGAACAGCAAGCTGACCCCCGAGGTGATGGAGGACCTGGTGAAGAACACAGAGTTTAATGAACACGAGCTGAAGCAGTGGTACAAGGGTTTCCTGAAGGACTGTCCCACCGGCCGCCTCAACCTGGAGGAGTTCCAGCAGCTGTATGTTAAGGTGAGACGGTGAGAAGAGCAGAAAGACTCGTTGTTTACAACTGCTGCTAAGAAAAGGTCAAATGTGACCCGGTTGGATGCGGTAAAAGGGCCATGAATTCCCCACATCCCCCTTGTGATGAACAGCCAGCGACTTGGAGGCAGAAAGGTCTTAGAATGAGCGAATTATATAACCGTATATTGTGATTCTGCTTAACAGGTCAATTTGTTCTGTTGGGCTTATCTCGGCATCTCTGTACTAAATGTGTTAACTTGCTAAGAGCCCACATGGAAGGAACTCCTGAGCAAAGAACAGTGTGTTATCACCAACGCCTCATTCAGACGCTGTACGCACTGAAAATGCCACTAGAGCTCACGCTCTGGAAAAGAAATCTGAATTAAGTCAAGGAATAGCTACCGTGATTTAGGAAAAAAAGCCAATCCAGCGCGCCTGTCGTCATGGGGTGTGGCGTTTTCCTTTTGGGCCGGAATAGAAAAGCCTTTAAATGCTTTTCAAATTCCCAGGAAAATAAGATCAAACTAGATGGACGCAAGCAGTGATTGAATCAGATGGAATATCCCTCAAAGATCAACAGATCTGCAGCCACGCGGCTCGGACCTGCAGGGGTCTCTTCTGGGGAAGTCCTACGATGATGCAACGCGACGCGTTTCCAGGCAACAGGCAGCTGTCACATCGGTGCGTTATTTAAATGCAGAGAGCTGATAAGTGGATAAAAAACTGTCTGCAACGACCTTCCATCACAGTGACGGGACAGACTGTTCCTGTGACGAGTGAGCGTGCGTGTGTGTGTGTGCGTGTGCGTGTGCGTGTGTGGGGGGGGGGGTAGCCATGCAGTGTCTGGGTTGGACATCTACACACACTGTTCTCTCGCTTCTCCTTTTCCCCGTGTCTCACTGTAACACCCGCTGCCTCCCTGTGGGGGGTAATCATCTCCCCGGCTGTGAAGGGAGGAGGTGATGAAGAGGGAGGAGGGGAGAAGGTGATGAAGAAGGAGCAGGAGGAAGGGAGAAGGTGATGAAGAGGGAGAGGGAGGAGGGGAGAAGGTGATGAAGAGGGAGGAGGGGAGGAGGGGAGAAGGAGATGAAGGAGGAGCAGGAGGAAAGGAGAAGGTGATGAAGAGGGAGAGGGAGGAGGGGGAGAAGGTGATGAAGAGGGAGCAGGAGGAGGGGAGAAGGTGATGAAGAGCGAGCAGGAGGACGGGAGAAGGTGATGAAGAGGGAGCAGGAGGACGGGGAGAAGGTGATGAAGAGCGAGCAGGAGGACGGGAGAAGGTGATGAAGAGGGAGCAGGAGGACGGGAGAAGGTGATTAAGAGGGAGCAGGAGGACGGGAGAAGGTGATGAAGAGGGAGCAGGAGGACGGGAGAAGGTGATGAAGAGGGAGCAGGAGGACGGGAGAAGGTGATGAAGAGGGAGAGGGAGGAGGGGAGAAGGTGATGAAGAGGGAGAGGGAGGAGGGGAGAAGGTGATGAAGAGGGAGGAGGGGAGAAGGTGATGAAGAGGGAGAGGGAGGAGGGGAGAAGGTGATGAAGGAGGAGGAGGGGAGAAGGTGATGAGAGGGAGCAGGAGGAGGGGGAGAAGGAGATTAAGAGGGAGCAGGAGGAGGGGAGAAGGTGATGAAAGAGCGAGCAGGAGGACGGGAGAAGGTGATTAAGAGGGAGCAGGAGGAGGACGGGAGAAGGTGATGAAGAGGGAGGCAGGAGGAGGGGAGAAGGAGATTAAGAGGGAGCAGGAGGAGGGGAAGAAGGTGATGAAGAGCGAGCAGGAGGACGGGAGAAGGTGATAAGAGGGAGCAGGAGGACGGGAGAAGGTGATGAAGAGGGAGCAGGAGGACGGGAGAAGGTGATGAAGAGGGAGAGGGGAGGAGGGGAGAAGTGATGAAGAGGGAGAGGGAGGAGGGAGAAGGTGATGAAGAGGGAGAGGGAGGAGGGAGAAGGTGATGAAGAGGGAGGAGGGGAGAAGGTGATGAAGAGGGAGCAGGAGAGGGGAGAAGGAGATTAAGAGGGAGCAGGAGGAGGGGAGAAGGTGATGAAGAGCGAGCAGTGAGGACGGGAGAAGGTGATGAAGAGGGAGCAGGAGGACGGGAGAAGGTGATGAAGAGGGAGCAGGATGATAATCAAAAGTTCTTTTCATGGGCTTAGTTGGGGGTTCGCTGTCTAGTCTTGATTTAGGAGTTAGGTAAGGGGGGAAGCAGGATGTGCCGAGCAGGCAGACACGAGTCCGACAGGATGGGGAGTCAGCTTATGTCCTGGCTGAGGAATGTAAGGTCAGCGGGTCAACTAGAAGATTTACCAGCCAAAGGGGGGTTAGAGACACACCAACACTATTCAACATACACACTCTGTTTACGATGTTTACGTTAAGTCAGGAGTCTGGACATTGGATGTGACCGGATCTTAGATGCGGGAGGTGGAAGGTCCTCCTCTACGCCAGTTTAGGGCCAATAGAAATATTTCCTTCTCTGTCTTTCAAGGGTTATAAAACATGATGTTCTTGCTGATGTTAGTTGTTCTTCCGGCCTGTGTGCTGCCTGAACTGCTCCTGCCTTTGCAAACGCAGCGCTGATACTTGACCTGTGATCTGACAAATAAATCTCCCAGAACGAGAGAAGTTATTCGGCTGAATTCTTGATGACCCCGACCAGGCTCCAAATCTTGAACACGTATTCTTGCAAGGAGGACGGGAGAAGGTGATGAAGAGGGAGCAGGAGGAGGGGAGAAGGTGATGAAGAGGGAGCAGGAGGACGGGAGAAGGTGATGAAGAGCGAGCAGGAGGACGGGAGAAGGTGATGAAGAGGGAGCAGGAGGACGGGAGAAGGTGATGAAGAGGGAGCAGGAGGACGGGAGAAGGTGATGAAGAGGGAGCAGGAGGACGGGAGAAGGTGATGAAGAGGGAGCAGGAGGACGGGAGAAGGTGAAGAAGAGGGAGCAGGAGGACGGGAGAAGGTGATGAAGAGGGAGCAGGAGGAGGGGAGAAGGTGATGAAGAGGGAGCAGGAGGACGGGAGAAGGTGATGAAGAGGGAGTCTTGAGAGGGAGTCATGGAGCGTGTCGGATGGGGAGAACTGGTGGTGATCTTCATATTTGATGCTGCAGTGAAGCACAGTGAAGCGTTAGTATCATCGCTCCTCACAGCTCCATCTGATCAGTGCTGGGGGGAGAGGTGGGAGGAGGGGGGAGGAGGAGGGAGGGGGGGGTGATCACTTATCATTAAAAAGTAATGAATGTCCGTTCTTACCAAACAGTCAATTGGCAGTTTACCGAATGTAGAAATGAAGATTGGGAAATTAGGAGCGGTTGAAATGATAATAGCACAATTTAAATGTAAATGTAATCAGTCTATTTTCATTTAAGTGGCATCGTTTGTCACTGGGTGAGGAGGCTGAGGATCGCGAGGCGTTTTTTTACTATTTCCTTGTCTGGAGTTAAACCGATATGCAGGACGTAGTCAGTCACAAGAGCTCTGTGCTTTTCCCACCGAGGCGCTTAGAATCAGCCGGTTGAGACGCACGACGACGAGCTGTTGCATTTCTTACATCTACCCAACGTTCAAACACTGCGCTCCTGTCACGGATCTTGGTCCCGGGTGGATTCACCTTCCGGGTGGTTTTTTTGATGCCGCCCGCAAGAGAGGCTGGCCCCCGGCGGGGGGGGGGGGAGGTGTCCTCGCTGGCAGACGCTTGTAACAGGATCTCTCTGGGGGGCGTTGTGTCACTAGATTTTCTTGTTTTGATTAACGCATGCAGAGACAGCATCCGTGCGCACAGATAACCGTGAACACACACACATTCAGCAGTGATCCACTATGTGTGGTACCTGGGCGCGTCCAAGTCGTTATGGGATTGTGTAACGCTGCGGCGTCAGCGCGATGGACGTCATCGTGTATCTGCTACGCGCTGCAACAAGAACGAGGCACCAAACCAGAACCACAACGTTTCCTAAACTACAGCGTCGTGTTTTGAGCTCGCCGAGCTGTGGTACTTTGTCTGAGGTCTTGGAAGACAGTACGTGTGTTTACCGCAGGGCCGGCGGTTTGAACCCCGGCTGCTCCATGTCCAAGTGTCTCCGAGCAAGGCACCCTGACCTCTACCTGCTCCCCCTGCGTGGGACGGCTTGGATGCAGACAACAGTTTCCTGTATGTGTAAAACAATGGCTTCTTCTTCTATAATGGGACGATATCACTTGAAATGAAAATACTTCAGATGAGAAGTGACCTGAAGGGGAGAGAGGACCACCGGCCCTCAACACACACACACACTCACACACACACTCACCCACACACACACACACACACCCACACACACACACACACACACACGCTGGCGTGAATATAGATGTATGGATGCTTCTCGCTTGTATAGCCTCCAGGGTGGGTCTGTGTGTGTCTGTGTCTGTGTCTGTGTGTGTGTGTGTGTGTGTGTGTGTGTGTGTGTGTGTGTGTGTGTGCTGCCTGCTATTGTCTCCCTCGAGGGACAGACAGATGACTGGCAGGTAAATGGAGCGACAGACGGACACTGACATCATCTGGCCAATCGCCTGTTTCCGTGGGGAAACATATGCTCCTTGACCACGGGGGACATGAAGATACTGGACACACACTGCGTGTGCAACACTGACAACAACACAACACTGACAACAACACAACACTGACAACAACACAACACTGGCAACAAAATGTTGCATTTGACGATGTAGCTCCGCCCTAAAGCATCAGCTGCTCTGGTCCGAGAGATTGAGACCATGTGACCGTGTGATCATGTGACCGTGTGATCATGTGACCATGTGACCATGTGACCATATGACCGTGTGACCATGTGACCATGTGACCATATGACCGTGTGACCATGTGACCATGTGACCATGGCTACTGAGGGAATGAATCCAGACACGTAGAGTAATTTGCTCATAGACTTCTCTACGAGTCGCCCCCTGGTGGACAGTAGAGAGGACGCCGCTTCAAGACCTCAATCGGAGGCGTCCTGTGGACAGCGGACAGCGGACAG